TATGCAATTTTGCGTTGCACATAGACGGTCGTATAGGCGGTTACGAACTAGCTGGCGCTTTAGATTATTCGGTGGTATTTCGATTATCGTTACCGAATTCTCTAAACTGGCCCTTCTCAAACAGCGTTTTACAGCTGCACTTACTTCATTTGAAATGAAAGGCAGTATAAACGGGACCGATATTGCACTACTTCCCATGAACATCATAACGATGGTTGATGATCATCCGAATAACGGTAGAAGATGGCCAACGACCTTAAGAAAACACTGACCGCTGAACGTTTGATTAACGCATAAACGCAATATCTCAGCATAAAATTGTAGTAGCAGCAAATAGAAAGAGAACAGTTGATTGTTTGATTCAGCGACCAACTAAAATCCTCCGAGATTTTCAATTTTTCAAAAAATTCTGGTACCAACAGATTATTAAGTTTGTCTACTTTTTCCCAAGCTTACAAGGAATTTTGATGTTTTTTTGATAAAGCATAGGACAGAGACAAGGATCATAACATAATATTAGAGACGAAGCATTGAGCCGTTACAACCATCGACTTGTGCAGTCTAAGTTTCTTAAATTTTCGATGAACTCATCTTTCTATAATGCAGCCACTTTTTATTTACTGCCAATTCTTCTTTTATGGGAGGGTATGATGTGAAATAGAACCACAATGATGGTGAGATATTTGCAAAACTCCAGACCGCAGGTGTATGGTGGGGATTGAACACGCCACTACCCTTTCCGTGGGTAAACATGTTTGATGTAGTGTTCAGAGGCGTCCTGCAATGTACATGGGATTGATCCCAGCGCCACGGGCACGCTGTGCCTTCCACGACGCTGGAGTCCTCAAATTGGTAGCAAAGTTGTTTGTTAGGATAGCAGCATTTTCTCGATACTTTGGTAGAGTCATTGTAAAGGCCAGGAATGCACTTAATCACTTTTAACTTTGCTTGGTCGCTTCTTTAAGCTGGTGGAAGTGAACAGAATATTCGGAGAAATACTCAATAACGTCAAATGCGGAGTGCATCGTTTAGGAATTGGTCAACGCCGAGAGCTTTATCCTTTTATTTTTATTTACTACAGCCTCAGGTCAAGTGGGTTCAAGGCCGATTTTCGCTCGCCAGATAAATTCCATTTACGGGTGATTGCTGATAGGACGATAGCTTAAAACACGGCTGAGAGAAAGATAAAACCAAGGACTCGACATGGTGGTGAACACGTTAGCCTTCGTAAAGGGTAATAGCGGGTTCGATCCTCACCGCAGACACCTGCAATCAGGAGTTTTGCAAATAACCCCCTTTTATAGTTTACAAAACAGATTATTGTACTAATGAACATCGTGACTTAAGTTGATGTTTTTCCGAAAAATCGGCGCAGATAGACAGCGAGTTTGATATTTTGTTACAGAGTCAAAATTGCGCCATCAAAATTAATGACCAAGTTAAATAACACTTGAAAAGCTTTGAAAAGCTATTTCTCATCTTATCGTCTATCCACTTTTCTCTTTCTTTTGGCAGCGGATTTCGGTGGTATAATGCGCGTTCTTGCTTCTCTATTACTAACGTTACTGAAGTGATGTTATGTGATAGCGCGAAAGAATGTGGACATTTCCAATACTGTTCAACAAATTAAAACTTTTGGGTGCAACACTTGGCACTAAAACAAATGATATAATCCTGGCACTTTGGCTTGCACAGTTTTCTGTCAACAGTTTTCTTCTAAAAAATGATGCGCTCTTCAAATCAAACAGGCAGTGTTAGCTGTATGATGTCATCTATGAGCTTCATGACGATATAGCCGTTTCGCAGCTTAAAATATGGATAATCGACCTCTCCTTCATTTTAGATGACTCAGTGAACGGTCCAGCGATTCCAGAAAAACTGCTCCAATCTGCTGTGAGAAATAAGTCCAAGCAGTGAAGAAGACGATATCATCGAAACACCGGCAATCGCATTTCGCGAATACGTGGACATCTGCTCAACCAGAACATTTCATAATATTTATCTGAATTAATTGCTAGTGCGGAGGTTTACTGGTTCTTGGATTTGTTGCTGAGGAGGTAATTTTAATCCATTCACTGCTAATTCTACGGGAATCCTTCGTTATTCCAATTGAAGGGGTTTGCTCTCCATTCCACATTGACCATTTTGTGACCATATCGATTACTCCTTAAAGCCTGAGAGAAACAATAGTCTGAGAACGTAAATCGTGAACAGTTCTCAAGTTGAGTGATGTGAGGATAGCAATCACGGTAAGCGTGTTGTCTATAACAATCCCCTCATGAAGGCGTTGTTGCACACCATAAACATGAAATGCGTAGTGGAATAGCAATTTCTTTTCTAAAATTATGCTTACGATATTAAAGTCAGGTTATCGTAAAACCAACACATAAAGAGAGGACATATTCAGTGGGCTATCAGAAATTTCATATGAAACGTACATCATCGTTAGGGTTAAGCACTCGGCAATTTGGAGACAGGGATGCGATCTGTTACTAATAATGTTTAAGAAGATATGGCATTACTGCGATTTATACCCCACGATCTGAGTATTAGATGCTTAGGTATCCTATCCTCGTATTTCAATTCGGAGAAGCGTTTTCTTCGTTTGTTCTGTTATCTTAAAACTATCAATCGTGGAGGTAGTTTGGTTCAGGTTCGGTCGCGGCACAAAATTCCTCACTGAGATCTTATCCAGTGGTTCAGTGTAACATTTTTTGTAATCTCGGACATAACCGTGGTAAAACGTTTTCCATCTTCCAGAGGTAATGGAAGAGACGTCTAAGTCGCATTAGTGAAATGATTTCTGCTTCGCGAATAGGATTGCTATAGAATGACAGTGATGTAAGCGACCAGTTAACACACTAACTGAAGGCGATGGAACGGTCCGAATGCGGTCTGTATATTTAGATTATGATGAGTCTTGCTCATAGATCATTCTTCTCCAAATGATTCAAACCGCTTTATAGATGAACGAAAGCTAAAATAGATGGTAAATTGACATTAAGAACATGTGAATTAGAACTACTCATAGAATGTAAAAGAAGCAACTGTGAACGCGAATGTACTTTCTTCGTAAGGACCCACTCAGTTTGAAGACAGAATTTTCAGATCCAACGCTTTCATTCTGGTTCGATAACTAGGCACATCATTGCTCACACATTTCGGAACATGCAGCACTTGATTATGACATGACTTCCATTATTCCTGACGGCCAAACATTTATTAGGTTCCTTCATGCAATACAGCTGTTCAAATAGGAGAAGATAATATATTTATTCCCAACTGTTCGGCTTCAAATCATCATCTTCCACAGCTCACATCACCATTCAGTTTCTCTGCTTCGAATACACAGAGGAGAAATGCCAACTAGTTCTACGTGATGATTCGGCAATTCAGCGTCTTTCATCACACATTTCTACGATTTACTTCTATAGGTTTCCTATAGATTAGCAGTATGGAATGCTCATATAATATAATGATAGGTCTCCCATGAAAATGGAAAAATAAACTTGCGATCTTTACTCTTTATTTTCTGCCTCTACAATTTTCACGGCGAGGTATTATACTAAACACAATCACAATGATGATGAGATATTTGCAAAACTCCAGACCCCAGGTGTTTGCGGTGGGGAACGAGCGCGCTATTACCCTTTTCAGGAGCTAACACGTTCACTAGCCTCAGCTTAACCGGATTCAATGCCGATTTGGGCTTTTCGATCAATCTCGTTGATGGGTGATTGCTGATGGCGCTGATCGATAGAACTAGCTGACAAACGGGTGAAACGGAGGACCCGCATGGTGTGGTGGTGAACGCGTTAGTCCCCGGAAAGGGTAATAGTGCGTTCGTTCCCCACCGCAGACACCTGGGGTCTGGAGTTTTGCAAATATTTCAGCATCACTGTCGTTGTATTAAAGTTGCACTTTGTAATTATTCCAGCTTTATAAAATGTAATGCAGCATGACAGGTTTCCCTGAGTGATGTGTTTTCTTGAGTCTTCGAGGCCTTTTTGCAAGATAATCATTCCAAAAGCTCTTCCTAAATTTCTGGTCAATGAAAATAGGAAGGCCTTGAAAAATCCCGTGTCTAACTAAGCGTTATCTGATGTCATAAGCTTTTAAAGCAACAGCCTCATGTTCTTAAAATCGAACCATACTTCTTCAGTAATATTTCAATGTTGGCATGACAAGTACTACCACGACTTGCAGACGAATAAGTTATTCAAGAAATCAACCATGTGTCCAGCACTGTTACCAATATTTACGACATCTATGACAATGTGAGCTTCAGAAAGTCTTAATGAAGTAATCCAAGATTTTCAGAAATATTCAACATGATGGCTTTATTCACACCATGGCTACTGTTCGCCTGCCTCAGTGTCGCAAAGCTTGTGCTGGGAAGGGTAAGCGATGCGGATTGAGCCAACTATATTTAATTCCTTAATTTCTAAGAACCACTGCAATAGTCAAATCAGTCAGGATTACGGAAGTTTTCGCATTTTCTATGATGTATACCTCACAGGACTTCTTCGCTATTAGCTTAAACCCGAAAAGAACACATCATGCAATAGAAATCTCTCAAAGTTATTGGTCAGTAATTTATTTAGGGAAAAGTAATCGATATCTTCGATGGAAAAGGCGATATTCTACAGCTAAACGAACCAGATGGGTAAAGTTATCATTTCTTTTACACGACTTTGACTTTAAATGAATTTACTCACGCAAATGGAAAATCAAGCGACGCTTCTTCCCTGCGTACCGCGCATCGATTCGCCAAGCATACAACCAGAGTTGTGTGTTCATCTAGCTATTAGAAGGACATTTCTTCTAGCACTGCTGTGATAGCCGCAGAAGTGTGTTCTGATCCCAGAAGCACAAAGAGAAATAGTGCGGCATGAATCCTCCACTTAGGGAAACGTAGTGAATTTGACCCAATAATGATTGGAGAGCTCTACACGCGCCTCCGATTTCAGCAAGCTTGAAAACCTGCTTTCTCAATCCATCGAAATCCCCTTGTTTGCTTGCCTCCTGTTTCAATCTCAGGATACTAAAGAAAATGCAATTAGAGCGGTTTTAAATGCACTGCAACAGTTTAAACTCTCAAAATGGATCACAAAATATTATGTGCGAGAGTTTGCCAATACAAACTAAACATTTTTTGTGAGAAAGTACCGGAAAAGAAAACGCGGGTAAAGTGTTAGGTTAGTTTGGGTCGACAATAATAAAATCCTCAAGATACACAACACTGGAGCTGTGTGTCCTTCTGAGCTTGGATGCTGATGTTCTTGATTCGCCACGTTTGGGAAAACTTTTGACAACAGTGTTCATAACGTTGCTCACTATAAATTTCGCTAGAAGAAAGTAAAAAAGCGTTGATTGAATATATTCTGCTCGCTTTATTAAACAATGTTACTTTGAATGTATATCAATTTACTCCAGATTTCATCATGACTACGCCAGCAGCGTATTCCTCAACGCCATCCTCAGCAACTCACGACGAAAATGGAATTTAAGGGACTCGAATGGAAACATCGTGATTCCCTACGTAATAGGCGGAGGATATGGTAAATAACCAAACTTAGGAATGCTGTCTTTCTTCCAACGAACGCTGTCCTTTCCTTTTCTGCTTGAACGATAAAAGTTAAGTATTCCACTGCTCATTCCGCTTTGCTTTTTGCTGCGCTCAAAATGGATACTGTGTACTTATGACATTCTCAACTCACTCTTTGAAGTGTGGAGAAGAACTGGAAAGCCCTTAGCTTCACGAAAGCTCAATGAATACATTCGCTCGATTACTGACGGGAATCTTGACATCTGAATGCAAACTTACTCTATTGATCATCGACGGATCGTCGCGCAGATCTATTAACGGAGACAATGAGGGCTCAGGTTCAGCTTGATGTCAAACGGATCATTTGCACTGAGTAAGAATTTTAAGGACTAAGAGGAAACAGGTTGCAGTCTTATTAATTATGCTGCTCATCTTCAAAAGAAAGAGTTTGCGGGTGAATTTAACCCCGTCTAAGATACATGCTCTTATCCCTGCGGCAAATTGAATTATACAGTTGAAACAGTTAATTTTTTGATGAAATAGTGATAAATCCATAAACTTTTCGTTATCTATTTAAGAAGGCTATGAAATCAACACCATCAAGCAGGCTATGATGCGAATTGAAGCGAACACTTGTATTCGATTCCGACCGAGAAGCTCTGAATGGGATTACATTTTCATTGTTAACAGAGATGGCGAAGGGTGAGTGCTCCTTCTCTCGACTAAACATTTAGTTTAGTGCGACGCTTCATTTAGATAGTGAAAAACTCATAAATGGAAATAGTAAGGAATTAAATTATCGAACAAGTCAAATAAATTGTTAGGCACTCAAGCTTGACTGAATAAATGCCGTAGTTCATGATGAAAACTTATTGAAACTTCATTTATCACTCAGTTCCACGTTATTTCAAACTTTCCTATAATCTAGACTATTATGAAGATCTAAGGAAAGGCATAAAAGTCCTACCAACTAATCCTGCAAAACATTCGAGGATTGAATTCCCGGCGATTCGCTTTCAGTTGTTACACCAGTGTGGGTCGTCAGAACGGAAGAAGCATATTGGTGCTTGAAGCGAACGACGATAATACGTTAGTTTCTTTCTATTAAAACCTCTAAGAAAATGTTCTAAAACTGTATTTGGTCTGCACGCGTATCTATATCACCAGTTGACAAGCAATGTGGGGCGTTCACACCTCGAACCCAGTCACTACTTCCTTATTTGATACTTGAACGACCCGTCCTCACTGGTTGTGCGGGCAGCAGCATAATCAACATTTTTCGGATATTTACTGGTTAAGCCATTGTGCTTCCCTAGGTCAACCTGGCCAGAGTCTACCTCACCGCAACAGACAGTCGCAACTCTTGTGAATCAGAGGGAGTTTTGCCACCATGAGACTTTGATACCAAGACGGTGGTGGATCTTGGTATTGGTTGGAATCCAGTCATTATTCAATAAAATGTAATAAACAGAGCATAGAGTAAATAGTCAGAGCTCTTTGTTGTTTGAACAACATGACATACTAAACCATCGAAAACGCAACGGTTGTCGACGTCGGTGAAGAATGTCTTCAAAGAACTTGTTTCCTACACGTCATTGTCGTTCCACAAGTAGCTGCCGTGTAAGCAAAAAGATTTAGAAGTTCAGAAAAGGGTCGTCCACATTACTCATAATACCTGTCAATGTAGCTGAGAGCCGAAGCAGTGCCTTCCAAAACCCAATCAATCCACCGAAAACAAACTCATACTTTGCAGTTCTGTTTCTCAAATACAGCTGCACACATCTACAAAGCTGTACAATAAGAGTGAACAAACGCCGAAGCTCGATAATAATTACACGAGAAGTTTGTTAGGACGAAAACCGTTGAAACATGCTCATTACAGGAGAAGATCATTCACTGGATGGTGTTGATGTGTTTAGGCTTATTCTTATCCCTGATTCGGTATTGATCGCAGAAGCCAGTAAAATCTCTACATGCTTATCACATGTGGCGCAGTGCTCGGAGGCGTCCTGCGACACACATGGGATCGATCCCTGCTCCCATGACTCAGCAAACCTTCCATGCGGCCGAGGTCGGCGAGTTGGTACAAGACTTGTCTGAGACGATAGCAGCACTGGTTCGATACATCGCAGGCCGCAGTGAGTCATGTAATGGCCAAATATGCATTCAATCACCTTAAAACGATGCATAATGAAGGGAAATGGGTGGCGCATACCTCAGGGATTGATGAACGCCGAGAGCTTTCTTCTTTTTATTTTATTACCTGCCCATCACGCAGCATCTAGGACACTATTAACGAAGCGCCAGTTACGAAGCGCAAACTCTCTTCTGGTGGTCATCAATCGCAAGCATTTCAAAGATTTTTAAAGGTTCAAGCGGAATATCCCCGCGGTTGCTTTATAATCTTCATGATACACCGGGTGGGACAGCTGCAAAGAAATGCTGTATTACATAAAAGCGGCTGTGATGTTGTAATCCTCTCTCCGCAGTAATAGTAAAAATAGCAATTTTTAGCACAGCACTTTGTAAAGATTTATTTCTGGTCTTTAGATGCATGGAGACGCATATCGTTCAACATGAACTGTTGCACGTTATTGGACTATGGCATGAGCACATGCGATATGATAGAGATCAATATATCACAGTATTTCGTCAGAACATTGCACCAGGTTGGTTATCAGAAAACCTTGGTCACTCAATGTTAATACCTTACTTACCAGTGAATTGTTCCTTTGCAACTAAAATACTTAATCAGTGCCACATTCTCAAAAATCTTTCCAATGGTTTCAATCTTCTGCGCTCTTTCCGAAGCCGTTGACTTCTCAGTGTTGACAAATCAAAAAATATTTGTTCCTCGTATTCGGTCCACTTGAAATCTATTTAAAAATTCTCAGGCGTCCTGAGTGCAACTATCCTTTTCATAATAAATGAAGTCAATGGCATCCCAACAGTTCACCGCCTCATCGTGGCTGGGACCTGTTTCTGGTTGTCGAACTTTGATGTACAGCGGGGGATTCATCCACTGGCAGGTTTTCCCAAGCTGAGAAGGAGTTCTGCGTTACCACCAGTAAGCTCAGCTAAGAGCAAACCAATACCAGGATCCACCACCGCCTTGGTGTCAAAGTCGCATGGTGGCAAATCTCCTTCTGATCGACAAGAGCCTGTGGTGTGAAGACGTGGGGCAGACTTTGGCCAGGCTGACCTTAGGATTGCAGAAAACCACAATGGCTTAGCCAGTAAATCTCCAAAAAATGGAGATTGTGCTGGTGCCCACACAACTAGTGTGGACGGGTCGTTCAAGTATCAAGTAAGTAAGAAGTCAATGGCCCAGTTGTTGATGTGGTGAAACACAGTTTCTTTGGTGGGATCCTCGCGTGCCGTTGCATCACAGCTGACAACACTTCAAACACCTAAGTCTTTAGGGATCGTTCACATTTTCACTCTTTTAAGGTTACGCAAGCCAATTCAAGAAGATTTCATCAAGTGAGTCGACAGTGTACGGCTTACCCTACGACTATACATCAATCATGCACTACGCGAAGACAGCGTTTGCTATCCCGGGAACAATTACCATGAAGACACGGGATCCCCGATACATGGTAGCAAAATACATTATGTTTTCTAAACAACTCTCGAAACCATTGGAATATATAAATAATTACAGTAAGTAATTTTCTCCACCATTTCACGGTCATTCTCCAGACGAACATTTCTGGACTTCTGTCAATTTTGCTGAAATATTTGCAAAACTATGGACCGAAGGTGTTTGCGATGGGGAACGAGGGCGTTACTATCCTAACCAGTGGCTAGCGCGTTTACCAGCACACCATGCGGCGCTTTCATTTCGCCTGACTCCTCTTAATGTTGTGAATCTCGCAAAACAGAGGCGCGAAGAGCTTCATGACTGATCACCTTGTTGTACACTGTCTATTGCTCTTTATATCCAGCCTCTAGCCGTTCCATTCGTTATGAATCACATTTCAACGGTGATTTCAGAACGTGATTGGTCGACAAAGAGACGCCTCACGAAGTGATTATCTGAAAGTCTGCCAAATCTACGGTTGTAACCAATGCAATGGTGAAGGTACACGTCCAGAAGGAGGCGAAAGTAACCACTACTGGATATTTTTCTCTACTCAAGCGTTTTTGCCCCAGAAAACGAATGAGCTTTTGCCTATATGTCTTAACAACCTTGTAGGTACTAGACCAAACTGTAACAGAACCCATTAACACACTAAATGGAATTTTCATAAGTTTTTTGGAATGTCAGCCTTGAAAGTTCTAGTGCCAATTTCAAAGGAGTATTTTGCTGGATCAAGTTAAACTTCCAAGAAAAAGGTTGCATTTATTGATTCTTGAAAAATTTCAATAGTTTTACAGAATGTATTGACAAATTTTCACAGCTCTGTGTTGTTGTGAAACAGCATGGACTGTTGGACTGCAATGGAAATAGTAAAGGATACTGCTGTGCCACTTGCAAAGCCATAACTCAATGAGGAGTCGATCTATTTGAATCCTCGTACGGCCATTACTACGACGATTACTAAAAATGATTTCGTTGATCACAGAGTGAATAAATATTGCCTTGTATACATTTTATACTCACCTCCCAAACAAGTACATAAAATGCCGGTTTTCTAAAAGTGGAACTCCCACCTTTCATTTTTATATGGAGACAGCTTCATGAGGCTCAAGTATTCGCACCTGTATTCCACATTATAGAAGAACTTCTATCTCACTGTTCTATTACAATCCAGCTGCCATTTTAATTCAAGTATCGCCGTTCTTCCGGTGTTAGCGCAGGGTGGTACAGGATGCGAAAAGTAATGAAGCACTAGACGTGTGCAAGTAGTAGAGTGCTCGAGCTCTTACGAAGCAATGAACTTAATACAATTATGATGGCTGTTTAAGTTACTTGGAGTTGGGTGACGTGCCAAGTTCATTAGCGCAGTTTTAAAGGGATTGTAGAAAGTTACTGCTGTTTTGCACTGTGAACTCAAAGCTAGGACATCCACATTTCTTGTTTGGTATTCCTTCATCAATTTCGGTTTACCTGGAAGAGAAGGCGGTAGAGAACTCTTCTCTGCAGTAGTATGGCTGTGATCATGTTTTTCACACCACTTGTACAATAAGTTAAATAAACTCCTGAAGAACAATTATTTGTAATGGCTAGTTCAATAAAGAAAAACCAGGCTTTTTGTGTACGTTTCGCAAAAAATCTGTTCATACAGAATTATCGAATTTTACCAATTAAAGTTTTGTACAGAGCTAACGAGGTAGTTGTAGCGTTGTGGTTTAGGGGTGCTATGCAATGTACACTGGGTCTGTTCCTGGTGCGACCACGCGCTCCGTGCTCACCAAACCATTCATCTTTCCTTTTCTGGGACGATAAATAACTACTTAACATTGGTGGGCTAACGCAAGTCATTGCATAGGCCAAATATGCCTTAAGTCACTTCTGCGATGCCACGAATTGAATCGAATGCATGACTCATCTCTAAGTATTGGTGAATTCAAAAGCTTTATTCTTCATGCAGACAACTAATGACAATCACCTGTATCACCTGTCACACCTCTCACTGACCAGTGACTCGAACAAAAGATACTAAACTTACCATTTGGCCCTGTCGCGTGCAAGAGTAGGCCAGCGAGTTCTGGTTGCTCTTGGGATTCCTTCAGTTCCATACCTTCTTTCTAGGATTTTCGTGAAGAACTCTAACCATCGGGTCATTGGTTTTTTGCATCACATTTCATACCGCAAAAAATCCAGTCGCTAACTGCTTTTGACCATCGGTTGCCGTTCAGACGCAATATGCGTCCGCTCCACTTTATCTTCGAGAATTTGGCAATGTATAACAGTGTCCCTCATTTTCGACCATCAACGCAGATCGGAGCTTCGGATCAATTTCCTCATTTGCGTTATACAGAAGACTCATAGGACGGTCCTTTCGACTGCGCGTTCAGTAACGTGAGTGATCTTTCATCCTGTCAAGTTGCGACCAGGTTTTTGATGCACACTTTGGCGCAGGAAGAATTGTGAAGTCGAAAAGATGTGCAGAATCGGCTATTCCTCGTCTTACTCACTTTGAAAAAATACCATCGACCTTCTCGATAGCTTCTCAAGCAGCTCGCTTCCTCTTCCTTCACTCTGCATCTAGCTCATTCGTTACGTTGAGTTCCTTAGTTAGATAAACACTGCTGGATTATTTGGAGATACTCATTCTGTTGAACGAGATGGGTGACTCGAAAGCAATCCGTTCCCCATGAACATCGTTTTTGGGAGATTTAGCAGAAGACTAATCTTTTTACAGGCATTATCGTAATTGGCTAGAAGAGGTCTCATGTGTATAGTGGTTGGCATTATAAAAACGATTTCATCAGCAAAACGAAGGCGGAATGATGGCCGAGCATCGATTCTCGCTCGCATGTAGCCCTATTCCATTGTCCGTGTGAAGTTCTGAGGAGTGGTAGTGAATTATTTTGGAGAGGTGGTATCGCCTTGCCTAACCCCTCGTTTGGAGAATTTGTTAATATTGTTGTAGAATGCTGATACTCTGCTTGCGAAATTTTTACATAGTTCGCAAAGGATTTTCATGTAATTGGTAGGGACGCGCAGGGTGTGGGGGCATTCATGAATGCTTCGATCTCAACTGAGTCAAAAGCTTTCTTCAAGTCTTCGTTTTCGAAACCCTGTTTGCTCACATAGCCGTCCTTCGTTTAATCTTCGGTTAGTCCCGTTTAGGACGACTTCAGTCAAGAGTTTGTAAACGATAAACAGCAACCAGATTAAGCCAAAACTGTCGAAGTCGTGATGAAGATCACCGTTCTTGAACAGTAACACGGTCTTGCTGGTCTTTCACCAAGTAGAGATCTTGCATCCGGACAGGTAACGTGTGAAGAGCCGAACTAGTGTATCGATGGGGTTTGGCGGAAGATTCCTCTGGTGTTCACGTCTTATCTTGTCCGGACCAGATGTTGTTCGACCTCACCGACGAGACAACATGTTGGATTACGGAAGGGAGAACCGATGGCATGACATAACTATCCTTTTTTATCTCCTATGAGGCCGGCAAGACGGGGTCAATGATGAGATCCAAGTAGTAATTGTGAATGATTTTGTGCATTGTCCCTCTCTGAAAGCTGTAACTGTTTCCTCTCTGCATCGCAATGTAGCCACCTTGGTTTTGTAATGAGCGAAGTTTAAGTGTGATTTGCGAATGCTTTTCCACACTTTGCAGCTTCCATGAAAACTGTGTTTTTCTCTTTTTACGACCATCTTTTATCGCCAGCCTGCATTGTTTTGCAAGTTCGGCCGTTAAAGGGTAGCTGCCTGTGGCTCGCGCGATTCCACATGGGGGTAGAAGCTCAATTCTTTCCGGAGTCAGACGCGCCTTGGCGACTTTCAATATCTCAGCTTTCATAGCGCTAACGTGAAGATCTTGAATAGGACGGTCGTATTCCCGGTTGACTTTATCAATGACGGTTTCCAAAATCCCTCTAATGAACTGAATAAATCCCAGTTAATGTTGGTTCTAAGACTTCCTTTTTTTGAATTTAGCGGCTTTCCTTCCTTTCCGCGAGATATGGGATCTCGCGCGAATGAGGCGATGGACGACATCATTTATAAAACCTTCTTCTTACTATGATGTGGTCCATTTTTTTTTTGGTTAGTTACTCTCCCCTGGAGGATACCTACATTCAGTGTTGAGGATGCTTCTGGAATTGCGAGTAACCATAAATGTTCTTGGTTATCATGATAAACTCAAACAGCCGCTCACCCTGTTTATTCCATTCTAATCTGTGGATCCCAATGTGACGTTCTTCAGACGTTCTTCTTGGTCCAGTCTTGGCGTTGAAATCTCCAATGATTAACTTGACGAATGTATGGTCTTCTCTGTAAAACTTCTCCAAGTCCATGTAGAACACTTCGACTACATCTTCCTCATAGCTTAAGGTCGTTAATTAGATGAAACAGATTTTTAAAGCCGGTGTTGATGCAGATCTCCTAAACTGTAAATGTTCAATTCAGTTTGCTAGTTGTTCGTGTGAATCGATGTTGGTAGCCAGACTCGTGCTGATGAGAACGCTGACGCCACAAGCTCTTCTATTGTCGCATGTTTCCAGGAACAGTTTTTCTCCAGTACCATAGATGTCGTGTAATGGGTGGCGTCTTCTCCTCTATAATGGTAATGATAACGACAATGGAAAGTGAAATGATCATCTGCAGAGGTAATTAACACGGAAAAGTATTTCTAATGAGAAAGAGAGTGTGTAATGGATTGAACAAAGTTAGGAACAAATAGCACATCGTGTAAGTATAACTCAACCAAGAAAACCTACTAAGGAAAGTATCTAAGTGGTAACGATGTCCGAAGGATTACTCGGCTTCTCCAAACCGCAGGTGTCTGCGGTGGAGAACGAAAGCGCTATTGTCCTTTCCGGGGAGTAAGGCATTCACCACCACACCATTTGGGTCCTTCGCTTCGCCTGTCTCTCAGCTAGTTCTATCCCGTTGGCGGGTGATTGCTGTTGGAGCTGATCGATAGAAGGACCCGCATGGCGTGGTGGTGAACGCGTTACACCCCGGAAAGGACAATGGCCCGTTCGTTCTCCACCGCAGACATCTGCTGCCCGGAGTTTTACAAATATCTCAGTATTGTAGAAATATCAATATATTTCTTGCTTTCAATCGTTGTTTTCGTCACTGTATCGATGTGACGAGCATGACACCTGGAATCCAGGAGCGGCATTCAACACTTCAATAAAGAAATGACAACTCCTCGAACCACACCCGTACCACTTTTATGGATAGTGGGCTTTTCTTTTCTTGAAGTGACGTTTGAACCACTAACGATGGTGTGTCATCTGAGTATACTACAAATCAAAGTGTACAGCAGCTGCTAGAATCACCTCTATATTGATCATTTTTCAGCCTATTCTTGGGGAGGTCATCATTTTTAATGTGTCGATGAAAAATGTCAAATTCTTTTTCGAAAACAGCTTTTTTTGCTACTTTTATACCAGGACATTTGATTCCTGAGGATTGCATTCATGACGGAAATTTGCCGAAATATTCCAAATGTGCCAGCAACATTCGAATGGAAAAGCTCGTCATACGATCCGGCAGGCTTTGCTGCGCTAAGTATTAATAGCGACCTACTAAAGTGAAATGGAGCACATACTGGCATATACACCTATAGATGGAAAAGACAATGACTATTTTGCAACTTGATGATGTTCACATTCCAACAAGTCCTCTAGATGCCTGAAATTTGTCGTTTACTGTCGAGAAACTCTCGCATTGACATGATTAGTAGTTCGTGAGTCCAACTGCTTTTGCTGCGGCCTTGACACGAACATGTCGAGAATGTTTCAAATGAAGTGAGGCCAGCAGATTGGACATGCGACCGCCTGTTTATTACGAGAATACAAAAATGACTCACTCAGTGCTTTCTTTTGAATGGAATCAAGAAAATATGTGTGCGTGTAGATTCCGACTGGTCTTGTCGAAAAGAGTGGATATTTTTAAATGAACAACTTGTATAGGAGCCAAAAAGGCTGGAGCACTTGCATAAATGGAACGCCTAGGCGAGCTTGGCTCATATCACATTGTCCAGCGTATTTATCGAACTTCGTTTCTAAACCCTGTTAAGTGAGTTCTTTGGCGCATCTGGGTATCATGCAATCAGAGAGCTCTGGTGTTGCCCACTTTTATTCTCAAAAAATTTTGTTTCGAGGATTCATAGCGCGAATGTTAACGGATTAATGTCGGGAAAACTTGTGGCGTATTGTTGTTTTAAACTTCAAGCATAAATTCTACGAAAAAACAAGTTGTTTTATATATGTCGTTATGAACTTGTGTCTTCTGACGATCCGATGGACAATTCCTCCGACATGGCGCATGCTCCATACGAACGCGATTCGGGTGCTGGTGGAAACCTTGGGAAGTTCGGTCGCGTTCGACGACGTGCCGCACATTTCTGTTGTCTTTTCTGCAAGATATAAGACATTCTTCATAACCCTGTTGAGCGTTGCTTCAGAATCTCAAATTCGAATATTGGTATTACGCGGTCGAATTTCCTTCTTCAAATTTCAAAACGAAGCATTGGAACGAAAGCCAGTACAATAGTTCTAAAGAAAGACTTTTCAAATTAGAACCTGGACTCGTTCCCTAAAGAGTTTCGTCTGCTCGCGAATGACTTCAGTCTCGGTGATATGGTATGGATCGCTGTGAAATGTGTTCTCTATTGAGTCCATCGTTAAAAGTGGAGCGGATGGTGTACGTATTCGTTCTGTTGGGCACACCTTTAATCAGCTGGTGGTAAGTGATGTTCCTCAGATTGGGAACAGAACTGTATTTCAAACTACAGCGCATGATGATGATCACTACATCTAAATCTGTTCAAGAAAGGCTCTCCAAGTTTCTCTTATAACTGCCTTGTTAGCACATTTCTCTATATGAGCTAAGCAACAGTACAGCCAACAGTAAGTTCATAACATTGTTAACTTTTTTATTCGCTGCTTCTTACCATTTTTCACGACAAGGCATTATGTGTGATACAACCACAATGATGCTGAGATATTTACAAAACTCCCAACCGCAGGTGTTTGGCGTGGGAAACAAACGCGCTATTACCCTTTCTCGAGGCTGACGCGTTCACCACCACACCATGCGGGTCCTAAGTTCACAAGAAATCGATAGCCGAAATTTAAGTTGTGATAAAATCCTCATCAACCAATAAGCCTGCTTGTGTCATTTCTATGGTAAAGAGCGGGAGCATTACTTTCTCACTTTGCATCAAACGAAAGAAATTCCACAATCTAGTAAGTTCATTTCTCCATATATTGACTGTTTTTTTCTTTTTCGAAGAAACGAACCTTAATGACTAATCGCGCCGGCTTACTGTTTGGTACAGTAGAGATGTTCATCGCCAATCCTGTTGGTTGGCAAAGAAATTTTGACAGCGCTTCAGCAATGACCTGATTTCTATTTGATTAACTTAACATTTTAACAAGCTGAAAGTTTCAAAGTGAAATAAATTTAAACATTACCTAATGTTTGAAGTACTTGCACTACACTTCTATATTTTTTACTTTATTTTTATTTTATTTAATTCGTCTTCACGCCTACTGTGCACGTCCCAGCACTTCCCACATTCGATTCGTCTTCTTGCATCCATTGTCCACGAAGATCTTTTAACTTTACGTGTTGCTTCGATTGCTGCTTGAGGATTTCCATTTCATCTTGAATGCTGTAGAATGGTGATCGAGAAGTTCTTTGTGGAGTTCTGAGATAGCTGGGCTAGGGTGTTCCCAATTGAACTGCAGAGAGTGATGTTTTCCCGAGAAATCCGGTCCCTTCCGACCCCGGAGGGAAGAGATGCTTGGTTGACCGGGAGCGGAACAGAACTAGCACCATGCTCGTGATCACTTAACTTCTAACACAGCTAAAGTGCCTGTGGTGGTGAAGACCTGGTGCAGACCTTGGCCAGGCTGACCTCGGGATTCCGGGAAAAATACAGTGGCTTAACCAGCAGGTCTCCGAAAAATAGAGATTGTGCTGTTTGCTAAGTGTGTTCTGAGATAGCCGGGCTGGAGCGTTTCCAATTGGATTGCAGAGAGTGATCCTTTTTACTCAAAGAAGCACGGTTTTAATTTCCTAACACCAGAAGAATGAGTGGTTTGGTTGGCTCAGACTGGAATCGAACTACCACCATGCTCATGATAACGGACATCACTACCACTATGCGATCCCCACTGTGCTATACTACACTAAGTTGAGTAATGCTTGAATAGGCCAATAGCATCAGTGTGGCTCAATACCTTTAACGCCCTTGTACTCCTCCGCTCTAGGTCAACTGCGTCTACAATCCTTCCGGGGCCGCGTAATTGGTGACAGATTTGACTGCGTATCTTCGTGCGATACACATGATTCATGGGCGCCCTAGCATAGCTGCAATGCCCACAATACAGAGAAGACGAGCTATTTAAGTAAAATCTTTCACTGTAGTCCACTATTCAAGCACACCGCTCTCAACACCTGCAATTGTTTTACAACTTGCAGTGAGCTTATATTGGTGTTTTTCAAGCAGTGGTGGAACTCATGGTCGAATCCAAATATTCGCAGAGAATAGATGCCTGCTACCAAAAGAATGGAATGGAAGAAGTGATAGGATCCGGAAAACGGGTCATGTTAAAATCTAAAAAGAAAGGTTGAATTATCTACAGTAGGTGTGGTGCTTTAACGAGTATAGTAAAAAAAAAAAGAATCCATAAAAGTTTATAATGCAATCGATATGTATGATTCAGCTGGCATAGTGGAGTGAATACAGATGCATATGACCTTTACGCTTTACCCTATCAATTGCACTGAAGTGAGAGCACAAATCTGTTTCGGAAATTTTAGCGTGTACATTCCTAGAAGTGTACGCCCTTGCATGAAGAGTGAGCCAAATATTTAACGCTGTGTTTAGTCAACTCTTCATGACAAGAATGAGATCACATAGCATAGCTCACAGCCATTCAATATAAATCTGTGTATGTTACAGTTCCGTATCTCATTAACAGCGAAAATCATAAGATAAAAGTTTCACAGATGATTTTAATGAATGAACAATGTAAGTAGTATAGAAGGAACTATCAAGTTAGTCTCAGTTTCACCGTATTTCATGAACTTCAGGAAAGAACAAACACTCTAAGTCGCAATGTTAACTTTTTATTTACTGCCTACTATAATTTTTCACTGCAGGATATGATGTGAAATGTAACCACAACGATGCTGAGATATTCGCAAAACTTGAAGGTCGAGCCAGATCGAACCACGATTTTCCTTTCACGACGGTTCGATCTAATCCGGGGTCAAAGGTTTGCGAATATCTCAGCATCGTTGTGGCTATAATTCTCTAAGTTTTCTTCCCAACACCACTTATAACTTGCTCCTTGTTAAATGGATGTGACAAAATTCGATGAACCTAGGCTCATGCAAGACTTACTAGACTTGAACGCCAAAACGAGAGCTCTGCACGAATCAAATTGACGACTTCTGTCTTACGCAAACATCTCTTCAACATTAGATCATCATGATCATTGTGAAAATAAGAAAAACTGATTTCTAAGAATGACTAACCAAGAGAAGTACCACAAAGGATATTTCACTGTAGGAGTTCATAAAGAATTGCTGTCCTATAAGGTCACCACTCCAAAACTTTACAGTAACAAACTAGAACTGAAGAAGAGAAGCAAGAGCCTATCTGGCCCTGTAACGATTATCAATGAAATTGATTGCGAGGAACAGCTGTGGACTATTGTCAAGTATCTATATCTTCTTCATGGAATTTTTTTCTCTAAAAAAGAACTGCGTCGAAACAACAGAATACAACCGCATATGTTTCGAAATTATCTTCTGCCACTATGAAATCTAAAGACACTTGAATTCGTCGGCAAGGATAACGGGGATAATGAATGGAAAAGGTGACGAAGAAACCGATGCATCGCAGTTGATCGGAAGTGTTCAGCCAAAAAGCAAAACTACGGAGACTCTCAAGAGAAGGATAAAGAAGTCAAGTTTGCAGAAACTCAAACTGCAGCTAAACAACAACGAAGTTATAAAGCAGTAATTCTACAGAAGAACTTTAAAGATTTACTGATGAGAACAGAAGTGGTTGAAACTGTCTCATCGGGAATATGAATCATTAACAACACTCGTACTTGGCCCACTTATAATAGTGAAGTGGCAGGGTTCCGTTATCCTAAGCTAAGCAGCCATAATGTCTGGAAGGATAAACAGAACGATCATCTATGATTTTTCAAAAAGTCTACTTCGACTGTCATCTGCGTCATTTCCGCTTACCAATTCAAGAGTGCGATGAATACACCACGCTTCATTAGTTTTTTTTTTTTTAATTTCGAGCCCACCATCCTATCAGCAAAAGAAAAACGTTTTCAAAATTGTTGACCTTCTTTAGCACTTGTCTATGCAAGTGGTGCTTTCCGGTTAGAAAACGCTAGGCCCTATTCAAGATTTGGCCTGCTAACCCTTTTGCTCTCCTCGATTGTGCCCTTTTCGGTTCGTTGTACCTCTACCGTCTTCTTGTTTCTTTCCTTCAGTTGCAATAATCTTAAATTGTCATAAATTACATTGTTGCTTTAAGAATACTCTAAAAGTATAAGAGTAAGTGTAATTTATACAATATTATATGGTTAAAATGGTAAAATGATAAATCTCTCGGTGTTGATCAATTCCAGAGGGACGTGTCATGTCAACTTCATTAAACACCGTTGGAGTTGACTGAATGCATATCCGGCCTTCACAGTGACTTGCGGTGGCCTATCGATGTATTGAGCCAGTGTTGCTATCCTCCCAGACAAGTCTGGTACTAATTTGCTAACCCTGGAGGGATGGAAGGTCTGGTGAGCCTTGGGCGCGGGGATCGATCGGGTGTGCATAGCGAGCGGGGTGCCCCCGATCACTGCGCCACACCCTCTTTATATTATGGTTATTACTATTATACGTTGTTATATTATTATTAGCACTAACATATATATTTGAACAATATGTTATTATTTTTTCGTCACTTATTAAGCTATTAGAAGTCTTGTTTTTATAATGATTACTCACTTATTAAATCTCTTCACTAAATCCCAATCGACTACTTCCGGTATCAGTGGCGGTGGAAGAAGATCAACTTCACGAAGAAAATAACACTGATCACTTGGCTCATTGACCTAGAAATACTGTTGGCTTGCCTGAATTTAAATGAGCCTGGCCCGAAAGAAGAATACTGAATTACTTGTCAATTTCAATAACTACAGCATTCCCTTCACTATACAAACTCTGTTGGTTTAGCATTTTCCGAATCAATCTAAAGTGGGTAGCAAAACAGTTTGAAGAAGAAATCCTGCTTGAACCATGACATACGTTGCTAGCAAAACGTAATTCGTTCTGTTCCGGTATCCGTGGTGTAATAATGGTTTCATAGGAGATCGTTCCAGACGAATTTGAATAGTTGGATAGTAAGTCCGGGTAATATTCGACTATCTGAAAATGAAAATGGTCTCAAAACTCAAATAACATGATATGCAGTGGCATCATCTTCAGCAATAGAGGCCTAATCTGCCGCTATATTGATCAGTGATATATCGATTTCAAGTGTGCGTGTGGCGCAATGGTCCGAGGGGCCCTGCGCCACGCGCATGGGATAGATTAGATCCCCACACGTGGCTCACCAAGCGTTCCATCCCTCCGGTGTCAGCAAAGTGGTACCAGACCTGTCTGTGAGGATAGCAGCACAAACTGGATAGTTCAGTAGGTCACCACGAGTTATTGTAAATGCCAGATATGTATTCAATAACTTCTAACGATGTTTAATGAAGTCGAAAACGTGGCGCTTTCGTCAGGGATTGATCAGCACTAAGAGCTTTATTCCTTAGCTTTTATACTGATTTCACGTGGATTTAATGCCTATATTCGCAGGTCGGATAGCTCTAGCACATGAGTAAGCCGATTGAGTGCCGGTTTTTTTTCCCGGAGTCTCGTGGTAATCGTAACAGGGCTATCATACGTGGTCACTGCATTCATGTTATCCACTGGCCTTCGTGGATCATACAGACACTTGTCACCTTGCTACTTGTTAAGTTTTAACCAATAACTACGACAATTCGCCATACTGCTTTACTAAATCAAATGACCTACCCTACTGAATGAGGCCTCACTATCGTTTAGGGTAATCGGTTCCTCAGTATAACTTGCCCATATCACCGCATTAGATTTCTCAAAGAAAAACTGAGTAGAAATTCCCTTTTCACCTGTTCTGATTCTGCATATGTGATGTTTTTCTTGTCTTTTGGCACAGAACTTTTTTCCATTATGGCTGATCAATACCTATGAAATGTTATTTGGAATAAGAAGCGCCTTGTGAAGACATCAAAATTGCCATTCTAATAGAAACTTATTGAAAAGGTACAGAAGTCAGTTAAAATCTAGAAGAAAAATCTCAAGGAAACAACTGTTCAGGAAGTTTATCAATTAGTACTAGCAGGCCAGAATGCCCGTGGATATTCTATGGAATGCATTATAACCACATTATGCAAGTTCTAAGTCTGTCTAAAGGGCGAAGAAATACTCAAGGATCTCACGTACTTCTTCCTTATACTAGTTAGTGAACGACAAAGGTATCTTATGGACTTCCACGAAACAAAATGAACATCACCATTGTTGCCTCAGACTCATACAGTTATCAGTTATCAACAGAATCACACGATACCATAAATAACTTTGCAGAAAAGAAAGCAGGAGACATAAAGCAAAAAATGAAAAAAAGCAGACAACAATAGCCCGACTGCAGTGACGGCGTTCAAGAATCACATGACCTTGATTTGACGCCCTTCTCTTCCCACTAAACCTCCCATCCTTCCACGATCATAAAACTGCTGCCATGCTTGTGCAGGTTCTACTTGCTCCCTGTAAAGAAAAGGACAAAGCTGTCGGCGTTGATCAGTCTTTGAGGAATGCGCCATATATTCGGCTTCGTTAGGCAACGTTGGAGGTGTTTGAATGCATATCTTGCCTTTACGATGACTCGAGGTGGCCTATACCGATGTATCGAACCAGTGCTGCTATCCTTCCAGACAGGTTTGGTACCAACTTGTCGACTGCGGACAGATACGATATAAGGAGATCGCTCGCTGTAATCTACAAAATTAGCGACCGCCCGTGATATGGTACCCGTGATACTCGCTGTGGCCTACTGATGTGTCAAGCCAGTGCTGCTGTCCTCCCAGACAAATCTAGTACCAATTTTCCGACCCCGGAAGGATGAAAGCTTGGTGGACTATGGATCAATTCCACATGTGCGTGGCAGAGCGTTCCGACCACTGCGCCGCACGCTTCCCTAGTGTAATTTCTATACAAATAACAAATCACAAGCAATGAAGAAATTTTTATTATGTGGACGACCAATGAGGTACTACTAAATGAAGATGTCGTTATGCTGAGAATTTTAATTCTCACTACATTGCAATATTGTCGGCAAGAATACCGAAATATCATCGAGGAGGTAATGTAACGGCACGAGTGCAGAGAATGAGGATGTGACTGAGTGGAAACACTTAGAATCCAAAAATGCCCTTCAGCATCTTTACAAAAAACGACGGTGGATCCGAGTTTCGTGACGGTTCACGTTGTGCCTAAACGCACAAGAAGCTTTATATTAGGAAATATAACTTCAATGATGCTGAGATATTTGCAAAACTTCGGACCCCAGGTGTATGCGGTGGGGAACGAACACGCGCTGTTGTCCTTACCGGGGTGCAGCGCACTTCACCACCACACCATCCGGGTCCTTCGTTTTGCCTGTCTCTCAGCTAGTTCTATCGATCTTTTGCCATCTGCAATCACCCGTCAACGGGATTGATCTTGGGGGTCCAAATGGGCAACGAACCCAGTTAGGCTGAGGCCGCAGTTATAACCACAATTTAACGTATTATTTACTGCCTATTCTTTTAGCTGACAACTAGCTGAGAGATAGGCAAAACAAAGGACCCGGATGGTGTGGTGGTGAAGTGCGCTGCTCCCCGGTAAGGACAACAGCGCGTGTTCGTTCTCCACCCCATACACCTGCGGTCCGGAGTTTTGAAAATATCTCAGCATCATTGAAGTTATATTTCACAATGTATACCCTGCCGTTAAAAAGAATAGGCAGTAAATAATACGTTAAATTGCCTTTATATTAGGGTTCGAATTTGTCCATTATTTTGAAAGTTCCATTGGAAGGAAGTGTCGATACTTTACCAGTAAGCTTTTCGACTTTATATCTCTTAAGATTTGGTCAAGTTCGCTTCGATTATCCACTTCTGATCGCATCTGATGAGCAATCTGTCCATATATTTCATTCCTATTCTGGAAATAAACTATGTGAAAAAAACACCACGAAGAAACACATAGGACAGAAAGCTGTCCAATAGATAATCTGAACGCCTGCTTGTGGAAATTTCAACAGTCGTTATCGAGACCGTGAGAACGACGTCTTTTCTTTTGTGAACAAAGCCTCATGCTTTTCTTTTACCAAAGACCTAACACAATTCTCAGTCACAGCGCTCGTTAGCCCATTAAACGATTCTTTAAGGATTTTTCAACGACGAGTGTTGAAAACACATAACGCAGTATTCGCCTCACATGAGGATGTTATATAACTCCTATTCGAATATGTTTTTACCAGTAATATTTCATACAAGCCTAATGGCTGTGTGTGGCGCAGTGGTCTGAGGCGCTCTGCAACGCACACGTGGAGTCGTTCGCCCGCCCGGAGTCGGCAAGTTGGTACCAGACTTGTCTAGGAGGATAGCAGCACTGGCTCGATACATTGGTAGGCCACGGCGAGTTATTGTAAATCGTAGCATTGTAGAGATGGTCAAGTTTATAGTTGGGTTATACAGTGAGTGGTCCAACGATGTGTCTCAGGTCAGTGTTTTATCTTTCCAGACAAGTCTGATATTAATTTTTCGGTACCAGAAGGGTGGAGATTCCTGATTGTCTCAAAACGTAAGCTCAAACTAAAGCCCCTGCGTATATCGCAAGGCACCTCTAAGCATTGCACTACACTCGTTCAAAAATTGTCTCGTAGAAATAAAAAAGCCAGGAATTGGCTTGACAGAAGAACGGCGTCTTTTAATGATGACGTTATTTTACCAACGAGAACTTAAACGATGGAATCCCTCCAGAAAGTGGGCTTTCGCTGTTTCGTTGTCGTTTTTACACCAACTCAGTGCCTGTCACAGCTTGGCCAGAAACAGAAAATTATAACTGGGAATCGGACTGCTGAATAACTTAAACAGCATTTCTAATTATTTTTTCAAATATGAAAAATTTTTTTTTAAAACGAACCTGTTCTCTTAATGCTTTCAAGTGTTCAAATTCTATCTTCAATTGTCGTGTTCGACCTTTTGCCTCTTGATAAATGTTACAATAGATTTTGTCCAAAGCCTGAAATACGACTCCATACACAGTCATTGTTCTTTTTATAAAGTGATCACCGTTTTTATTTTAGCTGCAATAAGAAATATGATTTGATATCAGTTTAATACTTAAGGACGAGTATAGTGCAATGGGTGTAAGTGTCATGCAACACGCACATGGTCTTTCGTTCAATTCCTCTCCGCGTGAAAACCAAGTGTTTCATTTCTCTAGTGGCGAGAATTTGTTACTGCACCTTTTTGGGATAATGAAAATACTGAATTGATACATGCGTTGGTCTCAGAAAGTTATCATATAGGCCAAATATGTGCTCAATCAGCACTACGGTGCTATGAATGGAGTTGAATGCGCAGTGCATCCCTTAAATAATGATGAAAGCTTCTTGCTTTCGAATACAAAATCCTTTATATGAATGGAACTAGTACTTCTAAGAGAACATTTTTTCGCGATTCTACTATTGATCGAAGCTTTTCTAAAGACATTGCAATAGTTGCAGAACAAGTACAAACCTCAATAGTCTTCAAAGATTCATCAACTTCAGCAATAAGCTTATCAACAGCCGGGTCTTCTACTCGTAAAGTTCTCGTCTGTCTGAAGTAATGATATTACTTTTGGCAATATGGTAAATATGCAAATATTTTTGTAAGAAGAGGTGTTTTGCAGCTTCTTTCTTTCCTAGCTTTTCATTCTATTGTAATTAGTATCGGGATTCGCTGCTATCTCAATGGAAACAAGGAAAACTGATGGAAGCTACCCAAAAGTTACCGCACTTGTGTAGCTCAGCGATTTTGTTTCTTAGTTCCTCATTCGAGTACTTCTTTTCAGCTTGTCCCCTTTTTACTGTTGTTGTCCCTTTTTTAGCTGGTGCTTTCTTTTCCTGCATATTTAGATTTATCCATAAAGAAATGATTGATCGCTTTACTGTGAAGCCTCTTCTACTGATACACATTGTTTCATGAACCCACTCATTGAGACGGACTTCCATTGGTAGAACAAAAAAGCAAAAAAGAAGACCAACAATCAGGAAAACAAGGAAAATCAATTGATATACACATAAATATTTATCCGCTTACACCACCGTTAACAGGCAAGATATTTGAATGTTTGACCGACTGAAAGAACATTCTTGTATCACTGGCTAGTCTTGAACGGACCGACAAATCTAAAATCTCATCGTAGTCTGACTCCATTTCAGTTCAGCAGCAGCATAAAATTATTACTTGATACTTAATACTTTAATGGCCCGTCCTCACTGGTTGCGCGAGCCTCAGCATAATCTCCAATTTTTCGGAGATTTACTGGTTAAGCCATTATGGTTCTCTGGAGTCCCGAGGTCAGTCTGGCCAAAGCCTGCTCCAGGTCTTCACCACAACAGGCAGTCGCGACCCTTGTGGATCAGAGGGAGATTTGCCACCATGCGACTAATTTGATACTAGGGCGGTGGTGGTTCCTGGTATTGATTCACTCTTAGCTAGGCTTCCTGATGGAAACGCCGGACTCCTTCTTAGCTTGGGAGACCTTGCTAGGTGGATGAATCCACTCGCTGTACATCGCAGACCGAAACCCAGAAACACCTCCCAGCCATGATGAGGCAGTAAACCACTGGATGGATAAAATTATTTAATGTCTTTATTCTATAAAATGTTATTTAGAAGGATATATCTTTCATCTAGTAATGTCATAGAATTAGTGTCATCAACTTATCCCGAAATACAGCGATTTTATCCTCAAGTTCATCAACCGCGCAGGAAAGATGAGAAGTATCCAATCAAGATTAATAAATGTTCCTACAATAGTTGGCTAAGTCTTTGAAAGCGAACGGGATTGGGAGTGAATGTAGAGCGCACAGTAGATAATGTCGCTTTTATGACTTTATTTCCGCAAAACTTTCTTTTTATGAAGGGAGATAGTGACGTTACATCTAGAAGGAGCTCCAGGCAAAATGAACTGAAGTCAATCAACCCATCAGCTAAGTGACATATGCAGCCTTCCGCGATCGTACTTCAAAATAGTGGTTCTGACAGGTTGGACAATGCGCCACCGAAACCTCTGCTAACTCAAAATAGAACTGACTGCACCATGCACTCTTAACGCTTTATGAATCAATCGCTACAGCAGCAACAAAACCGGACTTCCCAGCAGTCCTGAAGCACTGGACGCGTCCGAGATATCATAGGAAAAAGATGGATTGATAACATTCACAGAAAGATCATCGGATATGATATGGATAGCAAAGTCGACCTTCTGATAAGACTGCAATTCTTCCGTTTTATTATTAATAGCGAACTAGGTGGCCTATTTCAATTGCAGGCAGCTACTGTAGGAAAACTGAATACAACGAGAAGGTTCAGGAAGAAGGAAGCATAATAAGTGAAAGTGGTCCACATAGCTATTGAAACTGGTAGGAAATATGCAAATTGACAAACCTTCTCTATCGATCCGTCTCCGATAAAAACTTTTGCAGCAGGCTTTTCGTTGCTAACGTTTGTAGAAGTCAGAGGTGTGCTAGTGAGTGTTGAAGGCGGTACTGCCAGATTAATTGAAGATGACCTCTGGGTGTTATCGAGTTTCCCCACTAAAAAAAGAGCTAGAACAGGCAATGTAGGCTTGAGGAATTTCGCATGTTGTAATTTCATGCCCTTTCCACTTTTTTAATTTCCATATTGTGCTTGATTGTGAAAAAGGTGAGAGCTTTTTCTTAATAACAGTTTAAAACACGTGGACATACAATGCAGTATATCTACGCGCCTAAGAGACCATTCGCGAATCATCTGGCGAAATGTTCAACTTTCTCGTCTTTTTTTAGCCTTGTTTTACATTAATTTGCTGAATATTTGTGACCTAACGAATTATATGAGCCCGTGTGGCGCAGTGGTTGGAGGCGCTCCGCAGCACATACGTGGAATCGATTCCCGCGACCAAGGTCCACCAAGCCTTCCATCTCTTCAGGGCCTGGGAGGATAGCAGCACCGGCTCGGTACATCGGTAGGCCACCGCGAGTGTTTTACGTAGATTTGCTGAATGAAGGCCAGATATGCATTCAATCACTTCCGACGATACTTAATGAAGTCGAATGTATGGCGCATCCCTCAGAGATTGATCGACGCCGAGAGATTTGTCCTTTATTTCATTTAATGAATTATCCAGGTAGTACTATATTGGTCGGGCACTCTTTGTGGATCTCACTTAAAGAACGTATTTAGTTGGTCGCTTTCAAACATCGCGTCATACTCATGTTCAGAACAATCCTTGTATTTTTGGTGTTGTCGTTAAATCGATATGTCAGCCAAAACCGCTGTACCTGAAAACACCAGTGACTGCGAACGTTTTGCTTTTAGTTTGGGCTCACCCGATGAATCGGACTGTGGCAACGGAGCAGCCTTTGGATTCCTGTCTGAAAACAAATTCAAATCGATTTCAATGCCTTGAATGAAATCTAGTTCACATATAGCACACGGAGCTGCCTTCCGACAACTGACAGTAAGTTCTCTTTTAATGAAGCAGTTGACGAATTGGGAACTTAACACATTTAGAAAAGAAACTCTTTGCTCTCTTGGTTTAATCGCATACGGAATTTTTACAGCTTTTTCTCATCTTAAATATGTTTCAAACACATTGCAAAACTTCAGAAGAAATTCGTATGTTTGAGGCTTTGAACCCAATGAAAAAATCTGCAAATGCAAACAATACATTAGTGAACACCATCGTCCCACACTAGCAAAATTCCGCTTGTTGGTGTGTTTTGTGCACCAAATACAGGCTTTGAATCAGTAATTTGGAGAAAACTTCGCAAAGGCTTACCACCTCATCGTCGCTAGGAGTTGTTCCTGGGTGTTTTACTGCGATGTGCACTGGGGGATTCATCCGCCTGGCAGGATCTCCCAAGCTAAGAAGGAGTCCGGCGTTTCCTTTTGGAAGCCCAGGTAAGAGGAAGCCGAAGTGCCTGTGGTGGTACCGACTTGGAGCCGACTTTGGGCACGCTGATCTCGGGACTCCAGGAAATGGCTTAACCAGCAGAACTCCGAAAAATGGAGAATATGCTGGGATCTACACAACCAGTGAGAACGGGCGTCGTTGTATCCAAGTATCCAAGTAATCTGTGAAGGAAGTACATGTGATGAGCTTTAGGAAACTAGAATTTCACAGCGATAAACTAGGAAACCTTTTATTCCCCCATGTCAAGTCTAACGGTTTTATTGAAACTTTTACAATTTAATATGAGTCGAGATATGTTGATTTGTTGTTGAAAGCGGCCATTATTTTCACGTCCAGTGCACTGTGGTCAATGTATTGTTGACTAGATCTAAATTTTATTTTACTCCCGTAGAGTTCGACCTCAAGCTCGCAAATATTATAGAATTGCATCAAGTATAATTAGAAACAGTCGAAAACCAGTAAGAAATTTCGTTTTGCTTTACATTCACCTTCTGAAAAAAGACTCTCATAGAAATTAGGACGGAAGCTTACGACCCATTCGCACTTAACGAAACGAACGTTCCCGAGGGTGCATTTGGGTTGACAGCTAACACGATAAACGACTTGGTTTTAGAGAGAATTAGAAAAAAGCCAACCACTTAGAGAACTTACAGAAACATCGACGAAAGTAAGGACAAAAAGCGCTCTACTCTATGACTTGTTTATCAACCCTACGACATCTTTCATTCCTTTGATGTATGCCCTGGAATACTGTCTGTTAATTAACCACAATGATGCTAAGATATTTGCAAAACTCCGAGCCGCAGCTGTTAGCTCTTGGAATCGAACTCGTTGTTACCGTTTCCGGGTCCGAAACGAAGAACCTGCATGGTGTGTTGGTGAACACGTTGACACCCGGAAACGGTAACAAAGGGGTTTGATACCCACCACAAACACCCGCGGTCCAGAAATCTGCGGATATCTCGTCATCATTTTGGTTATATTTCACATTATACCCTGCCATGTAAAAAAAGAGAAAGTAAATAAGAAGTGGCCACTATGTGTTGGATAGACACCATGACCATGAGGGGTTCTGCTGATATACAAAGTCAAACCATCTGAGTATCCAAAAAAGATATTTTCTTACTAAAGGCAGCTTGTAATTACGTGCTAAATTTTTTCTATTTCTTACGTATTCACAGATCCTAGGAAGTTGATAAGTTTAACCTACTGTTTTTAAGCCAAATTTTTTGAGCTTTTTCTCGACTACCTTCTTCGAAGATTTATCTATTAAGTTTTGAATTACGCAAAATAGAATGAACGACTGATCTACTACGTTTTCAACTATGCATAATGTAATAATCTAGATGGAAGAATGGAAAACTCTGAATGTATAACTTACTTGGTGCTCCAGCTAGCTTCTTCACCTTTGTTAATCCCCTGTGTAGCCGAGGCTTCCTGTTGATGTTGGACAGCTTCGCACGAATTTCGCGATTCATTTGTTTCAGATTTTTTCCCAGTCGCCGACTTTTCATTTTAGAACCATCTTCGACACCCATCGTATGTTGTTTGACGCAGTAGTCGAATGAGTGCTACCGCACTCAAAACCACAGCTTTATCTTAATGTTATCATTACTTATCGTTTGGTATAAATCTATAATATTATTCATTAACATTGGGCACGTGTGGTGCAGTGGTCGGAGACGCCCTGGAACACCTATGGGATCGATTCCTGTATCCTTGTCCTATCAACCCTTCCATACCTCCTGGGTCGGCAACTTGTACCAAACTTGTCTGCATGGATAGCAGCATTGGCTCGATACATCGGACACGGGCACAGCGAATTGCTTTGAAAGCCAGATATGAGCTCGATCACCTTCAAAAGAGGTCGAATGCATGGCGCATCCCTAAGCGATTGATCAACGCATAAAATTTCTTTTTTATTTTATTATATTTTTATCCTTTTTATCCTTTGATCATTATCACTCATGATACCATAGTTGACTTAAATCACCAAGAGAAATCTCTACAGTGTTGACAAAGATCTACGACGGTGAAATCAGTTCTATTCCCACTTCAATGGTTTTGTAATTCTGGTTGTGACCACTTGATGTGTCTGCACCGTTAGCAAAGCAAATTTGATTATTATTTCAATAAATTTACATGGTAGGTAATATAATTTTCGTGGTTTTTTTGTTGTTATCGTATATAGCAATATAGCAGCTGTGGAAGTCTACTTCGACATGAGAGTGACCAGTCTTCAAGAACAATTTGGCCCAGGTCATAATTTTTAGTTGCTTTGTTTCTTTGTTGCTCAATCTATAGATTTCGCTCACTGAGTAACCTCAGTTGGGCAGCCGCAAGACTACGTTGCTCGTTCTCAAATGCTTAAGAATGGGCGAAGAATAAAGCGTTCGGTATATATAAATCCTCTAACGATGTCCCATACATTCGAAGGCGAGCCTACGTTTCAAATCAGTTTTTTAGCTGCAGAGAACTATGAGATAAACAAGCTACTTCTGAAGAACCGAAGGCCTGAGTCGCGTCGCGTGGCTAACAAGGAGCTCGAAAATCCTCAACTAGCAGCCAAATATACTTGAAAACTTCTAAGATTTTAGAAAAGATAAGCTAGAAAAATCTAATTAAATCAAAAAATCAGAAAAACCTTTAAAATATCTGTAACTTTAACCATGTTGAACAAAAATAAGAAAAATCACCAGAAAGGGTTAAAATACGGTAATTGTGTTTTATTTCGCAGATACCGAACGTCAGATAAAAGCAGTTTTGTAGAGAAGAACAAGATTGTAAAAGATCATCATTGGAAACAGCTCCATCACTAAGGCTGGTGCAGTTAAAGTTTCTGAGAAATTTTACATCTGGCCCAACAGCTCCAATTGCAGGGTAGGCGGTTCTCTGAGTTGGCCAGTGTGATCAGCACCATGCAGTGGTAATTCATAGTTCTGAAGCCACATTACCAGCACTGGACATGGGAAGATTAAGACCAGATAATAAAGAGCAATAAAGCGCATTACTGCAAATCGAAGATTTGCCCCTATCGAGTAAACGTTACTAATTAGATTTTCCTTGTTTCAGGAACAAAGTGATTTCGTTCATGAGTTCCTGACGGCTTCTTTCCAGCAATACTGGTTCAGAAGCAGCCTGTATCACAACATCTGAGACTTTTCGTTAGGTCCGATTGTAAATTAGTGGTTTCACCGCTAACATGAGTTTGATAAAAAGCCTTATTCGGCTAAGGTTTCGGTGCCATTGCCTTCCTTAGATCTGGAAGGTGCATTATATTCGATTCGATACGATTTCGAAAAGCTCCATCTGAGGAAGAAGCAACTGCGAAACTGTGAATAGTGGACTCAAATCATTTCGGCTCTCGAAAAGGTAAAGGCTCTAAAACATTAGCTGAATAGTGTTTTTATTAAACTCGTGTTTGCTTGTCAATGGAAAGGAGTGCGTCCATTAGTCATGCTTAGGTTAGGAATAACTCAGTTTCTGAAACATTGATGGTATCACACTTCATACTGGAATCCGCAAATTATTCATCTGGAACAATGATTTAATGGAATATAGCCATGACACTAGAAGAGCGAAAATGGTTGAGCTACCGATTATTGATCTTCGCTTAAGATTTTTGTCACCGTAACTTTAACATTCCACTTCCTAGAACCGCGCAGAATATTTTTGATGTGGTATCCTTTTAATAACTTTCCTCTACGTCGATGGCAACGCTGTAACAGAACGGCAGAAGTATACTTGTAAAACTGTTACATGTCGCATGAATTATTTTTGTGCACTCAGTCTTCCACAAAGGAGCGCATGTGGCGCAGTGGTCGGAGGGGCCCTACGACAGACGCGTGGGATCGATTCCTTCGCCCCTGGCTCACCAAGCTTTCCATCCTTCCGGGACCGCCAAGTTGGTACCAAACTTGCCTGGGAAGGTAGCAGCACTGGCTCTATACATCTGTAGGCACCGCGAGTCATTGTAAGAGCCAGATTTGAATTCATTCACTTTCAACGATGCTTAATGAAGTCGAATGCATGGCGCACCTCTCAGAGATTGATCAACGCCAAGAGAGAATCAATCAGGATCAAAGTACGTTTTTCCACAAAAACTCAGATTTTGAAGAGGAGGAAAATCGTCGTTGTTCTCATTCTTCATATCATGACTGAGTAAGGACGATCTGACCAGGGATTAAGACTTGGTGATAGAAAGACGATCGACCTGCTCGTAACAAATCTCGTTTTATTTAACACGAAAGAGAAGAAAAATGAGTATACGAGTATTCGATTGGAGAGATCTTGTACGGCTGGAAAAAAATTCCAGATGTAAAGCATCTTTGCAGAAAAACCTATTTTAAAACGGACTGAAAGAAAACTACTAGGAACTGCATTCGAAAAAATTTCTTTTACTGCAATTAGTGAGAACATTGTCATATGTAGCTCATTTTGCACTGTCGTCACGATCTCATCGTTCTTTGCTTGATTTCTGAATGTTACACTCGCATACCTTTTTGAACTACAAGACCTTGCTGGGCTACAAGCCGTCTACTGTTATATAGAAACTTAACACATAAGAGTGGTCATATTCTCTTTTGTTTCATGTGACCCGTCTTCTAGTCTACTGTGCCGATCCCAGTACTTCTCACATTCAATTCGTTCCACCGCATCTGTTATCCACGAAGATCGTCCTACTTTTACGTGTCGCTTTGGCTGCTGCTTAAGGATTTTTTCATTTCATTTTGATTGTTGTAGAATACTGGTCGAGCCGATTTTTCTTGAAGCCCTGAGATAGCCGGGTTGAAGCGTTCCCAATTGTATTGCAAAGAGAGATTTTTTCGGGATAAATTCTGTATCAATTTCCCGACCCGGGAGGGATGAGAGGCTTGGCGAGCTCGGAGCGGAATCGAACTACACCGTACTCGTGATGTCCGACATCACTACCACTGTGCTATTCGCCTCCTAAAAGGAAAGATCTGACCAAGGACAATTTTAGATTTCACAAAACGCAACTTTACTGTGTGAAAAGAGGTCGACGAAATCAACTGAGAGGTTCTTTTTCGGCTTGATGACCAAACTATTGCGCTAAAAGTTCTAGAAAATAGCGATATACTTGGACTACGAAGACAAGTGAATTTTTACAAATTTTAAAGAAAGAGGTTTCTCATCTAGCAACCACTTTTGAGGTAAAAGGATAAAGGATAAAGCTCTCGGCCTTGATCAATCGCTGAGGGATGCGCCATGCATTGGACTTCATTAAGTATCGTTGGAGGTGATTGAGTGTATATCTAACCTTTACAGTGACTCGCGGTGCACTACCGATGTATCGAGCCAGTGCTGCTCTCCTTCCAGACAAGTCTGGTAGCAATTTGCCGACCCCTAAGGGATGGAAGACTTGGTGTGCCATAGGCGCGGAGATCGATTCCACGTGTACGTCGCAGTGGCACCTCCAACCACTGCGCCACTCGCGCCACCACCTTTGAGGTAGAAACGAAATCTTCAAGAATTTAATCCTTCGCTGATATTAGCTGCTTTTCTGAATGAGAAAAACTAAAGGATACCTTGTAATGGACTTTTAATTATGTAAAAACAACAGGCAGTTTCATGGATAGGCGCCTTCGATTCCTCATTTTATTTATAAACTCACTTAAGAGCAATATGATAAAGTGTGTAGACCGGATGACATTCAACTAGGTGGCTTATATTCGCCTTCGTCAAGGATTTTTCGAGTGAAAGGCAAACAGAGCAAGTTCCAAGCAGGAAGCCATTTAGAGCATGTTTCAGGAATTGTGTAGGCTGAAGCCATGCAGCACTAACTGCTAATTTGTAATCAGTTGGGTTCTCCACTTTATAAGTCTCATGTTTTGGTCGCTATTTAGCTGTTACCTTATCCCATACTCGGACTTAAATAACAGTAATTTCGGCGAATTGCAGAAAATGGAAGAGAAACAATGAAAGACTTATGCTAGGACTTCAGAAATTGCAGCTCCATTTGTATATTCTCAGTGTTAGTAGATTTATTCTAACAGAAGAACAGAAAAAGGTTTCCCATCTCTAATCCAGAAAAGCCCGCGACTACGTGCGATGAAATGCTGGGAATGTCCTAGTACTGCTATTCCAAGATTCTAGAAGAATCGACTTGGCCAACACTCATCGACAATCATAGCGGTTATCAATAATCCTCAAGGAACAGCCAAACCAACCAACGAAAAACTCGAAGACATTCAACGATGGCAAGGATGCGGGGAACAAAATCGAATGGAAGAAGTGCTAAAATCCACACAATGTGTAATGTCAAGTCATGTAAAAAAAATAAAGGTGGATTTCATAGGACAAAACAGGTTATATTTGTCACCAGCAGCATTAGTCGTAGAAAAATATTTTCTATCTAAGAGATATAGCCCTGGCTTTTGGCGACTGCGATTTTTCGCTTAAATATTATTTTTGACCGTTCGTTCCTAAGAAATGATGCATTCCCAACAGGACCACCAGCGGCAGCGAACAGCTGAGCGATTAATTCAACAGA